CAAGATATCTTATGATTGTGATTATTGTCATCACAAGAAGTGTTAAGGTGACTAATTTTTATTTTTTTCTTAAATAATAATATCTAAAAATATTAATTTGTTAACTGATTTTAATTTGTTAACTATTAAATATCAATTATTTTATTAATTATTAATTATTAATTATAGTTATTACTATTTTATCAATTAAATTAAATAAAATTAATGTTTTTAAAAATGACATTTTACAATTTTTTGGTGGCCTTAACATTTTATTTGCCGGCGATAACACATATCTTAGGAATGACTCTTTGTGGCAAAATTCAGTGTTAAGCTCCTAAACTTTTTCTATTTTCTCACATCAGCCCCTGTAAAAAAAACAGAAGTATAAACCCTTAAACACTTGATTTGTGCAAATTAACCCTTCAGGTGATGGAACATCCAACCAACATTTAACTTTTATTAAGTGGCAATTGAAAAAGGGTTCATTATAATTTAGTCCTTAGATTCATCAAATTTCAAATAGAATTTGTCCCTAAAATTAGATATATATTTTATTAAAAATGAAAAAAAAAAAAATCCTAGGGCAAGTCCACTCCTCTCCACCATACCCTTCCCCTTTTCTCCTCAGCCTAGAGGCACCATATCTTTGCCATTGACATTCTTAAGCAATATAGTCAAAAACAAACACTCATTCCCTTTACAAACTCCTTATCATTTACTTCACCTCCAACGCTTGCTATGGAGATTTTTTTCCAGATTTTCTAAGATTATCAAGCTTATGATTTGCTTTCATCCAGTAAAATGATCCATATTTGACAAGTTTTCAATTACCTCATCTAGCTTATTCTCATTTTTCCTAAAAATTTTCTTATTTCTTTAATTCTAAATTGCCCAAATCATCATGATCCAATTGAAATTGCATTGTAAGAAAATTTTTACTTATTGCCAGCAATTAGAGGAAAAACATGAATTTACCCATAAATGGATGGTGGAGCTTGCCTCAAATGTCTTTTACTACTAGCTAGTAATATAGTACATCTGTCTATAAAAAGAAAATACTCAAATGATTTCTTCATTAAAAATTCCATCTTTATGTACATTATGACAGGACTGTGTCCGTGATTTGACTCACCCAAAAACATTCTAATATAAAACCATCTTACTCCATTAATCATTTTGAAATCCCCATTTTTCCTAGAAAATCCCATCAAATCTTAGAAAATATGGCACAAAGAGCAGAGTAGCAATTGAAACTAATCACGTAGAAACTTTACTTATATAGCGGGAATTGGTGGAAGTGAGAAATCAATAAAATCTGTTTGGTGAGGAAAAGAAAGGAAAAAAGA